GAACCCAATTTTGTTAACTCTTACAGGGCCTTGGACTTTTGTAACATACCTCACTTAAAGGCACACCAGACTTCTGTGGCGTCCAGTCTTATGCCAGGGTCAAGGTCGAACAAGATTGTGAATGAGCTCTCGACTGAAAAGCAACAGATTCACAGTTAAAGTCAGAATGACATATCCAGCAACATATATCCAGCAACATATTGCCAGCAACATATATCCAGCAACATATTGCCAGGTATATTTAATGACCTTGACATCTTTCCATATGTTAGTGACATAAAACCAATCTCAGCATTCTGCAAAGTCGATTTATTTAAAAAAAAAAAAAAAGATTTTAAATAATAATGGCATGTACCAGACAGCTGTTGTCTCTTATATTATGTACTGTACAATCAGCTGCTGTCTGTTTTATTATGTACTGTTCCAGACAGCTGCAGTCTGTTATATTATGTACTGTACCAGACAACTGCTGCCTGTTATATTATGTACTGCGCCAGATCACTGCTTTCTGTTACATTATGTACAATATCAGGCAAAAGCTTTCTGTTGTATTATGTACTGTACCAGACAGCTGCAGTCTGTTGATGTACTGTACCAGACAACTGCTTTATTATATTATGTACCATACCAGACAACTGCTGTCTGTTATATTATGTACTGTACCAGACAACTGCTTTCTGTTACGGTATATTATGTACCGTACCAGACAGCTGTAGTCCGTTATAATATGTACGGTACCGGACAGCTGTACTCCGTTATATCATGTACTGTACCCATCGGTACTTAAATTATTAAAATTGCAACCTTTAGATAATCCTGTAGCCAGCTAAAATTTCTACGCTATTTACTTGCATTTACCGTTAGTTTCAATGTATATAATATTATTTAATGTATCAATGTTTATATTATGTAACGTAGGTCCTATCAATGTAGGCCTATATAATATTGTGTAATGTATCATTGTACATAATATTATTTAATGTATCAATGTTTATATTATGTAACGTAGGTCCTATCAATGTAGGCCTATATAATATTGTGTAATGTATCATTGTACATAATATTATTTAATGTATCAATGTTTATATTATGTAACGTAGGTCCTATCAATGTAGGCCTATATAATATTGTGTAATGTATCAATGTATATAATATTATTTAATGTATCAATGTATATAATATTATGCAATGCATCAATGTATAAAATATTATGTAATGTAGGCTATTTCAGTTTATTCAAATTGTAGTCTTTTAGTTTGAAATGAAAATTATTTATTTTCCCAAATCAATTGACAAAAATCTCCTTGTAGCAAAATGCTAAACATAAAGCACACGAGGCATAAACTCTATTATAGCTAAAGCAAAATTTTGGGTCAGGTGTCATCCATTTATGAATTACAAATGTCAAATGTTCACCCCACTCATGATACAATCTCCTCAGGTTTGTAACAAGCAGCTTCTCGACCATGCCCCCCTCCCCCACCACCTGTTTGAAAAGTTAATCAACTAATGCTGTTAATTTTTGCACACAATAACTATCGAATGTTGTGGCAATATCCTTGAAAATAATTCATGGATTTCCCAGATCTTTGGGTGGCGGTAGAGAATTTAATCGGATATTTATGGACTGTCAGAATTTCAGGTAAGTATTGCAGAATTTGTAATAAATGTAAGTGCACATTTTGACAAGCCCCCCCCCCCCCACATACCACATTTCCTAAATCGACAACCAACACCCCATCCCTCTCTTCAACCGACACCCCATCCCACCCGTCTCTTCAGACCGTAGATAAAATATGAATAGCATTGATCAATCATGGACACGGGAAATAATTCATGTTAAGGTTTGGTGAGTAAAATGAATTTATTGTTTTACCCCAATAACTGGTAAAAGCTTGCTTTATTATTAGTTATTTATCTAACTAATACCAGGTATATATATATTATAACTGAAAAGTGATATATTGTCAGGAAAAACGTATTTCTGTAAAATGTGATGCTGTAGTAATCATTATATTTAAAACTTAATGATTTAAAGAACTATTTAATAGTCATGGAATACCCAGTACCATGCTTGAAATGTTTTGAAATAAAAATATGTCCATAGAAATGTGCAGCCACGTCACCAATATGCCCTGAAATGTTAAATATTGGTTCTTTAGATTAGGGCTCCAAATCGTGGTCCATGGACTGGCACAGACTTACATGGAAGGACGCACAACATAGATATTTAAGGTCAATAAAAAAGAAAATAAATTTAATAAATCTGGCACCGGTCCCTGGCGCAATGTCATAAGTTGCCCACCGGTCCCTGGTGCAGTGTCATAAGTTATCCACCGGTCCCTGATGCAATGTCATAAGTTGTCCACCGATCCCTGGTACAATGTCATAACTTGTCCACTGGTCCCTGGCGCAATGTTAAAACTTGTCCACCAGTCTGCCAAATTAAAAATTTTGTAAAGTGCTGCTCTAGATAATATCAAGGGCTGGCAGCTGCAGGTTAGAATATTTTATATTGTATTGAATGAATCCACACATTAGAGTGATGTATATTAATTTTATTGATTGAAAAAACCAGCTTAACAACATTAGATCAAGAGACGTGTCTGCATTATGAGATCATGCATTTAAGATATCATTTAATTACAACAACTGTTGAATCCAAAATTTATGAATTTACCTTTAAAGTTTAAAGTATAAATTGAATATGCTTATATAAATGATCAGACATGACTGTATCTCAGTTTCATGATGTGAATATTTACATGCAGTAAAAAAGTCCATTATTTATAAAATATTTTGATTTTTGTTCTATCTTCATGTGTTGGCTGCCGGATTTGATCTATGTTCGTGTCAGTGTAAGCTGCAATTACAACTGTATCATGGTTCAAAATCGTTTCATCCCAATGAGCAATGTGAGTTCCACAACCTTTGTTCTGGAATCAAATCTACAATCATGTTTTACAGTATACAAAACAGCTGACAGAGGGAGCATTTCAAAAGTGTGATTAATCATTAGTACCATTTAAGACATGGCAACCACAGAAAAGCAACAAAACAAATAACATATCTTAAGTTAACACTTTATGGGCGTAATGTCATATTGGTTCATTTTTACTTACCCATTGGTCCCAAAATATTTTATGATAGTAAATAACAGACCTGTTTACTCTTATGATTTTGGTGTACAATGTACGATTTTGAGGTGTATACATTATATATACTGTATGTTTACTTTTTTACTATTAAGATAATAATGTAATGAACGATTTTGTGATGATATTGTAGGATTTTAAGAGTGAGGGTAAACAGGTCTGAAATAATAACAATACCGTACTTTACAAAAGTTCCAAATGTACCTATCAATCTACTGTGTGCATTGTTGTTACAGAGTTGACATGGTGCTGAAGCTTGCAAATCTATTTCAACTTATTCTGCATTGTTCAGGAGTCAGTTTACATTTCTACTGAATTCTCTCTGATCATGGAGAAAATAAAATAATGTTGAACAATCCACTAGCCAATAATCATTCGTTGAATTATCCACTAGCCAATAATATTTTGTTGAATTATCTACTAGCCAATAATCATTTGATAAATTATCCACTTGCCAATAATCATTTGATGAATTATCCACTAGCCAATAATCTTTTGTTGAATTATCCACTAGCCAATAATCATTTGATAAATTATCCACTAGCCAATAATCATTCGTTGACTTATCCACTAGCCAATAATCTTTTGTTGAATTATCCACTAGCCAATAATCATTTGATGAATTATCCACTAGCCAATAATCATTTGATAAATTATTGCTAAAAATAACCAATGTATTGGTAAATGTAAACACAAAAAAAAAGCCTTTAGAGAACAAAACAATTATGAACTAATTTGAAGCAGCATTTCAACTTTGACTGAGTCCAATAATAATCACGGTGTGCTGGCTAAATAGTTGTTTCATCATTCACTAAAAGGATGCATATCGCTACCTCACCTAGTGTAAACATGTTATTACTACCTCACCTAGTGTAAACACGTTATACCCCAATACTATCCCATCTAGTGTTAACATACTATTGACAAAAGTTATAACATTTTCAAAGGCACTTTTAAAATAACTGCATAATATTTATACGTTCAAGAGTTTTAGCCCATATTACTTATAAGTTATCACAGACTATTTGCGTAGAATGCATGTCATATTTATAAGATTAAGGTAAATAAAACTTTGATAATTGACAGTAAGCAAATTTTGACCATTATGTCGGTACTGCAAGGTATATTACAGAAATACAATTTACAAGATGCTGAACAAGATAGTTGGTCCCAAAGCAAATAATCTATCCAACATATTGGCAGTACTGTAACTTAATCCCATATTAAATAATCTTTATGAAAATTTGGCAGTCCTTAATATGATTCTAAAATTTAAACCAGGCAAGATGAGATTTTCAACTGGAGCCATGTTTGATAATAGCAGCAATGATCAATAGATCAAGGCAAACAAGCTCATCTATCAAATTAATGCAATAACTCATTTCATCTATCAGGTTAGGAAAATGTTGACTTCACAAACATATAGCTTGTCTTTTTTTTTTTTTTTTTGT